TTCCGATGTTTAGTATAACATTTTTTTACACATATTTGATACTTTGGAGGAGATTATTGTGCCATTGCGCCCATTCTTACCTTCCGGACATTGCCGGCTGTTTAGTAGACATTTCGCTGTATTAGTAGCACATTTCGGGCTGTTTAGTTATAATATTTTTCCATTTTGATACCATTGCGGCTAGCGTATTGATGCAAATTCAGCTTCTTTAGTCGGCACATTTCGCCGTTTGTAGCACATTTCGCTGTTTTAGTATATATATTTTTACATTGTTGTACATTGCGGCAGTTATTGATGCCTTGCGCAATTTTCGCTATTTCTGCGCACTTCGCTGTTTTACCATTTCGCTGTTTTAGCTAGCAATTCCGATGTTAGTTAATTTTTTTTACCACTTTTTGATACTTCGCGGGTTATTGTGCACATTGCGGCCACTTTTACCCATGGCACTTCGCTGTTTGTAGGAACTTCCGTGTTTAGTAGCAGATTTCGCCTGTTTAGTATATATTTTTTTTACCATTTTGATACATGGCGGGAGTTATTGATGCGCCATTGAGCACATCTTACCTATTCGCGCCTCGTGTTTAGAAATTGCTGTTTAGTAGCATCGGATGTTTAGTAAATATTTTTAGCACATTTTGATACATTGGGCGGGAGTTATTGATGCAGGGCTTGCGCCAATATCTTATACCCATTCCGCGCACATTCGCTGTTAGTAGCATTTGCTGTTGTAGTAGCACATTCGCGTGTTTAGTATAACATTGTTTAGCCATTTTTTAACAACACGGAGGAGCCGCGCGCGCACGGCACGGCGAGTGTACGTGGAAAGCAGCGACGTCTACGTCCACGCACCCGCATGTGTGTGGCCACGCAGCGCTCCACGGACGCACGCAGCGGACGTTGCGTGCACGGGCAAGCGCCAAGCCGACGCATGCATGTGTTGATGCATGATGCGGTCGCACGCGCGCACGTGTGACATCCAAAGCAGCACGCACGCACGGACGTGTACTATGCACAGAAGCGCACGGCACGCGTGTTACGGCGCACGCGGCGCACGCACGTATCGTGGCCAATTGGCCACACATTTCTTAGCACATTCGGCACATTCATCTGTTTAGTATTAAATTTTTATACAAGCTTTGATACATTGGGCAGTTAATTGATGCACTTGCGCACCATTCTTCACATTCGCGCACTTCGCTGTTTAGTAGCCATTTCGGCTGTTTCAGTAGACATTTCGCTGTTAGTAATATTTTTTTATGCACTTTTGATACTTGCGGCAGTTTTATTTGATGCAGCATTCCCTCTTTAGTAGCACTTTCGGCTGTTTAGTAGAACTTTCGTGTATATTAGTATAATATTTTTTACACATTTTTGATACCTTAGCGGCAGTTTGATGCACTGGCCACATTCTTACATATTTCTGCGCACATTTCCGCTGTTTAGTACCACATTTCGCTGTTATAGTATATTTTTTATAGTGCAGCGAACTTCTTAACTTGCCGGCACATTCCGCATGTTTAGTATAACATTTAGTTACACATTTTGATACTTGCGGCAGTTTTGAGTGAACATTCGTGTTTGTGGCACTATTTCGGCTGTTTAGTAGCACATTTCGCTGTTATAGTATACTATATTTTTTACAATTTGGGATACATTGGCAGTTATTGTTGGATGAATTGCGCCACATTCTTATAGCCTTTCTGCGCACATTGTGTTTGTCCAATTCGCGTGTTTAGTAGCACATTCGATGTTTAGTATAATTAATTTTTTACACATATTTTGATTTGCGGCAGTTAATTGATGGCATTCCCGCCTGTTTAGTAGCAGAGTTTCCGCTGTTTAAGTAGGCAATTTCGGCTGTTTAAGTATAATATTTTTAAGCATTATTCGATACCTTGCTGCAGTTATTAATGCCTTCCGCTGTTTAGTAGCAATTTCTGATTTAGTAGCATTCGCTGTTTAGTTAATATTTTTTTGCAGCATTTTGGATCTTTGCGGGCAGTTATTGATGCCATTGGATACATTCTTACCTATTCTGCGCACAAAATTCCGATGTTTAGTACAGCATTTGCTGTTATTAGTAGGCAATTCCGTGTTTAGTAATTTTTTTTGATCATTTTGAGTTGATTGCGGCAGCTTATTGATGCACATTTCCGCTGTTTTAGTAGGCCTTTGCTGTTTAGTAGAGTTTCGTGTTTAGTATAATTTTTTTACACGCTTTGGATACAATTGGCGGAAGTTATTGATGAAATTGACGCCACATTTCTTCCTATTCTGCGCCTTCGCTGTGTTAGTAGCAAATTTCGGTGTTAAGTAGCACATTGCGGATGTTTAGTATATTATTTTTTACACATTTTGATAATTGCGGCATGTTATTGATGCAAAAACGTCCACTTCTTAACGCCATGCACATTTCCCGGCTGTTTAGTAGCAATTCGCTGTTTAGTATCATATTTTTTAAGCAGCCTTTGTGATAGATTGGGCAGTTATTTGGATGCACATTGGCCACATTTTACATTGATTGCGCGCACTTCGGCCCTGTTTAGTACACATTTCATGTTGTCGTAGCAATTCGCTGTTTAGTAATAATATTTTTTTACACTTTTGATACATGAGGCGGCAGTCTATTATGGCCACATTGGATTCTACCTTCGCGCACCTCTCCGCTGTTTTAGTAGCACATTCGCGTGTTTAGTAAGAATTGCTGGTGTTTAGTAGTTTCGCTGTATTAGTACACATTTGCAGCATTCTGCCTTTGCGCCACCATTTCTGCAATTCGGCAATTATGCAATTCCTTGACCCATTCCGCGACATTCTGCACATTTCGCTGTTTAGTGCAGCTTTCGCTGTTTAGTAGGACGCATGCATCGCACCTTTCTCGAGGATGCTAAAGAGTAGATTATTAGAAGGGCGTATGTAAATAAAAGCGCTGAAATGGCTGTTTTGGCGGTGGTTTGGATGGGTGGTTCATCTCATTTGTATTCTCCTCGACATCCGCAGCTCCATATTTGGTAAGCAGTCTATTCGTTAAATTATGTTTTCGTTTATGCATATCTATAAATAAGGTCGTGCGTGTGTGTTATAGTAGCTATATTAGTACTTATGGGAGTACTGCCGCATGGACTAGTTAGTCTGCTCTAGTATGTAATATAGCCGCGTTCGATTAACTGCCGCAGGGCTATAGTACATTGTCGGCTGGAAATACCAACTGCAACCTGTTACCACCTGTCCCCATGAAAAATGGATCGTAAAACGCAAAGTTATCGGGCCTTTTTAACACTTATTTATCTAAATGGACATCTCACCTATCTTTTTGAACACTTTCAACAACTTTACACGATGTATTTGTCCTTTTATTCCACAAAGTAAGCACTACTGTCATTTCATTTTGAAACGAAGTGGCGTGCGCACGCGTGACGTTACCGGATATGTACGCAAAACACATGGCAGCTATGGTGCATGTATTATTCACGGGGGTGATGGGGTGAACTCGCGCTGATGTTGCTTGGCAACGTGAGTAACTGCCACATCAGCGCGAGTTCACCCAATCACCCCCGTGAATAATACATGCACCATAGCTGCCATGTGTTATGCGTACATATCCGGTAACGTCACGCGTGCGCACGCCACTTCGTTTCAAAATGAAATGACAGTAGTGCTTAATTTCCTGCATTCTGAGCAATAAAAAGCTCATATATCAGACTTTTTTTCTTTTCTTTTTTTTAAATATCAGAAAATTAGTGCCGGGCGGAGATATATAGTGCCGGGTGGCAACTGCGAGTGCCAGGCACACCCGCCCACCGCCGCCCACCGTGGGCAGAACCCTGCATGTACCTCGTGTACATATATATGTAGATTGTAGTACCTGATACGACCACGACCCCTTCAGCGCTCGTCGCTTCGAAATTTTGTAACAGGTTATATTAGTTTAATACAAAGTATTGTGATACATAGTAAGTCCCAGGATAGCGGAGAAAGGTTCGTGTTTAGAATAAACCCAGTTTGGAAGTTCTAGTCTCGAAAAACACACCGTAAAACCACCCTGTCCCCTTGAGTGAATCACTCAGAGCTCCTCCAAAGAAAAGAATAGGCTCGCGTTGTAACCCTACTCTTGTTGGGTTACATTATTGTATCTAAATGTGAGCCACGGCACAGGCACAGGCACTTGGATCATTGGTGATTGATTAAGGATAGTTTAGATTAACCGTTTAAATTATGAAAAAAAAAGTAAAAAATGCATAAATTGTATTTAGTATTTACTACTAGTCGTAATGTTCCCTATTCTATTGCCCAATCAGCGCCAATGCAATAATAACACCGCATAAGTGCCGTTCAAATACTGCTTTACAACACAAATTTGACTGAATCATGCATAGCTGCTTGCATGTCTCTGACTCTGTCAGTGTCAAGTGCACAAACTCAAAAAGATGGAGCATAAAATCACTCCATGTACGACACTGGCGTAATTACCTTACTCTAAAATGTTATAACTTACAAGTTACATGTATAGAGCATTACAGTGAAACATTAAATGGGTACGCAGTGTAATTGTAAATTAAATTGCCTAGGAAACCCACATAAAAATTTAATGACAAGCGCACTGATTCACACTGTGGTTCTATAATAAGGGATCGAGTTTGATTGTTGTTGCATAATCAGTAAATTTGCTTGCTCACGTGGTGTCGACAGGTTTTGCTGGCTTTGGCACTTCCTCCGCAGCACCAACATTTGGCTCATCGACTGCGCCAACGTTTGGCACGTCGACGGCACCACTCTTCGGCACAACAGCTACCTCGGCTTTTGGGACACCGACTGGTCTTGCTACAACATTTGGCACTGGTGGTTTTGGAACAACCACCACTGGGACATTGGGCACTAGTGGTTTCGGAACTACAACAACTGGCACTTTTGGTACCAGCAGTACAGGGCCTGCAGGCACGGGATTATTTGGCAGTGGAACTGGCACTCTCGGAGCTGGCACTGGTGCATTTGGTCTTGGAACAGGAAATTTCGGCAGTGCACCAACAGGGTTTGGGCTTGGTACAAGCACAGCATTTGGATCTACAGCAGGTAAAATGTGTAAGGAACCTTTATTTGTTACATCTTGCTTTTCTGAATATGCAGCTGCTTTTCAAAAACCTTTGCTGTATAAAATTATAAGAGATATAATATTTTTATTTATGATGTACAGTACATAATATATGTGCTACAGATGTTTTACTTGTTTGTGTACAGCAATACAATACTAATATCATAGTAATATGTGTAAAATACTATATTATGTGATATGGTATTGTAGACAGGAATTGTGACAGGATCAAAGTGTTGTTGGTCGTAGACTACTTATGTAGGTAGAGGCTTACTGTATCTCGCACATCTCTCCTCTAAAACTGTTGAAAAATTAAGTGGAAACAGTAATAGTTATATAGGCATATGTAATGAAAAACTTGGAATTTTGTCGTGATTTATTATGGAACCATAACATGCATAGCTGTGAAATTTTTTCATATATAACAAGTTCTTGAGGCTGTTAGAAGTAAGTCTCACATAATAGTGAAATCCTATATGTGTTGAACTGGCATAAATTCAGGAATTGGTTATATAATTTCAGATTGTGAATTTTTACCTGTATTTGGATTTTGAATGGATCTGATAGTCGGACCTGTCTCTGACCTACCTAAAACCCTGGCAAATAATGTTGTTTAATATACCTGTGCAGTAACTGAGAAACCTGACTTGCTATATCATTATTTTATGTTTTGTCTACTTTTTATAGCTAATCAGCAAGTTTACACGTCTGACAACCTTGCTGCTTTGGCAACTGCTCTGTCATTACCTACTGTGTATGGAGATGAGAGAGATACCCTCTTAGCCAAATGGAACCAGCTGCAAGCCTTTTGGGGATCAGGGAAAGGTTACTATGCACCTAATGCTGCCCCTGTCACCTTTGCCCCGGATAACATTTTCTGTCGTTTCAAGGTTAGTAGCAGTCTTTATGTTTAAAATTCTGCTTAATTTGTTCAGAAATTTTATGCATTCACACATGAGACATTGTTTTATATTTTGTATTGATTTGCTGATCACAATGCATAAATTGTGTGCATGTTTGATTCTTGAGATCACATACCTGAAAATTCTCTATAACTGTAGGCAATAGGCTTTAGTCGGATACCGGAAGGAAGAAATGAGGAAGGTCTTTGCATGCTAATCATCAACAAAAAAGACACAGAGGTGATCCAGCAGCAGCAGCAGCTCGTGGATAGTTTATACAGGTTACTGGGTAGCAAACCAACTCTGTCCGTCTGCGTTGAAGGTGTGAAGCCGATTCCAGATAACAAGTAAGAATTCCATTAGTCTCGGTAATATTTTAGCAATACAAGCTTATTTAACATCACATCGCTCATAATAAACTATAACCTACATTTTGCTACCAGTGTTAGACATTGCATGACATGTAAGAAGAGCACCCCCTCCACTATATGAGAAGAAAGGTTGTCAATGTTGCTATGCATTTGGGAGTAGACATATCTCGTGTTTCAAGCTCGCTACCAATGATCTATATCCTAGTACATGAATATCCTCTTAGAATGTTTCTCCCATGGCTTCTCTTCTCCATCCAACCTGAGATGTTTTGTAACCAGGTATTACTCCATCATTACTTTGTCTATCTTACAGCATACTACTTTATTCAGAGCTACCACTGCATTTATTTAACAGATGCGAAGTCGTGATGTATGTCCTAGAAAGAGCCGCCACTGGGGCATCGCGGCGTGTTCCTGCAATGGACCTCTTCAGCTTTCTAAACACGGTCAGAACTCAGCTTGTAGGAATGGGCATAGACACTGTCATTCCCAAGTTAGCTCCTACAAAGGAGCAGCTGGCTGAATACCTGAAAAATCCTCCTGCAGGTACATATGCGTAACCTGTGTGCAGTCAAACCTGTGCATAGTGGCCAGTCGAGAGACACGACGAAAGTGACTTTTACGGATAGGTGGCCGCTAACACATCTTTGACTGTATGTGTAATTTATGTGTATCTTACATTTCCTCCTAAAACTAAAGCTTAGATTGCTGCAGGTTTTACTGGAATCTTCAAGTGTGCATCTTATATTAACAGGTATTGATCCACTGATATGGCAACAGGCTAAGCTGGACAACCCCAATCCCGGATTATTGATACCGGTCCCAATGATTGGCTTCACGGAACTGTACAGAAGGCTGAAGTTCCAGGAACAGGAAACAAAGTTACACCAAGGACGTTTAGATGTAAGTATTATCTAAATGTATTTTTTCTCCTACCCGTTTGTGCTTTTTTTTAGTACTTGTTAAGTTGTTAGTTTAGTTGTTTAATCTCAAACATGGTTAAGATCAAGAAATGCCATTTGGCTAAGATATGTAATTTCAGCATAAAGCTCATGATAGTAAACTTGGGAACCATAAATCGGAATAGGGAACTAAATGCAGCCACCATCTGCAAGGCATGAGAATCTTCCGCGGATCATCGGCAGATTTTAGTGGTTTTGATTTTTAGCTAATTAATCATTCTAGAGATCGATGATATACACCTCACACAATTTCTCACTGGGTTAAATATGTACGATATACTTTTATAGATTATTGTGGAGTATTATTATGGATATAGACTATGTTACAGTGTAATATGCAGGGTTCAAAACTAATCAGTGTCCAGAAGCAAATCTCCCTGAAAAGAAATAAAAGAAAGAAGTAACACCCCCTCATTCTCGGATTCTATTATTTGCCTCTGCAGTAGCCCCATTGACTTCCTGAAAATTGTGACCACATTCACTCATGTAGGCACTCTCTGTAAGAATTAAGATAAAGTAAAATTCAAGCAAATGCATCAAAAAATAATCTGAGAGTTAGTTTGAAAATTAGCTGTGATATAATGCAGGAGTAAGATATTAGCAGTTATTATCTAACTCCATATATTGAGCTAATTACATAACAATTGACCAATAATTTGTGATGAATTTTTTTCACGAGTATTTTTGTTAGATTAGGTAATTAAGAGAAGTTCATACGTGTGAGAGTGTAGCCTATCTAATACTAAAGAACCTGTATGCATGATATCATTACATTGATATTGTGAAAAAAAATTCTGTATTTGTGAATATGACTTACATTTTGCTATTTCTATGACTTATGTTAGGTTTATGTCTAAATAGATGATAGCCCAAGATATAGCAGAACTACAGAGGAATCATTCCACCACCCAGGCTAAAGTACAACAATATAGAAGAAAACTATTAGAGCTGAGCCATAGATTGCTGAAGGTATTGAGATACATTACTATATATTTTAAATAATTTTAACTAGGAAAATATGCACTCAAACTTGCATTAGTGGACACCTCTCTAGAGCAGTCACCTGTCTATGAAGGACACTTAACGTTATCCTAAAGTGGCAGATTTACAATGAATCTACCTTCATATTATAGACACCAGGGGCCGGTTTTACGAAGCGTAATTAACTTTAATTATGATTAAATCACTAATCATAATTAACCTCCTGTAATTATGATTAGTTAATCATACTTAAAAATGTTTCACGAAGCGATTTAAGTACATATTTAACTAATCACATAATTAGCCGACTTAAACATGAATTACACTGTATTCAAAATGGCGGACAACGCCAAAAGTATCTGCAAATTCGATACATGAAAAGGAATTAATTTGCAATTATAATGACTAAATTAGTACAGCTAATCTTAGATAATTTAAATTTCCTTGGGAAAAAATTGAAGTAAAATTTCCAATTGTAAAATCTGCAGCGTACATAATTTACTAGTACTACCTACATACTACTACTAGTACTAGCAACTAATTATGATTAGTTGATTTAATCATGCTCCTGAGTAGAATTAAATATTGTGATTAACTTAATCATGATTAAAGTTAATTACGCTTCGTGAAACAGTCACTTCAATTTAAGTACGGGAAGTTGATCATGATTAGTGATTTAATCATGATTAAGGACTTAATTACACTTCGTGAAACCGGCCCCTGTCCATAAAGCTTGTTTTTAGCATTTCCGGTGAGTAGCTGTTGTATACAGTGAAACCATTTCTGTACTGGTTTGACTTATTATAGTGATAATTAATTAAAATGATCAATTATAATGGAAGCACGTTATCAGAAATTTGTAGATTTTGTCTCTTAAAGTATAGTTCTCTGAGAGTCCAAACAAGTAGTAGAGTGATTGTGAAATCATTAACAAATACTCATTTTTGTTTAGGTAATGATAAGGCAGGAAGTAGCGAGAAAGCAAGGATATGCTATACAGGTGGATGAGGAGCAGCTTAGAGATCAGTTGGAAGCTATACAGAATGAACTTAATGCACCAACACAGTTTAAGGTAAACCTTCATTTACATTGCAGTCAGTCCCTGTGTCACCTGTATTGTAAGGCTACAAACATTACTATCTCATGAGGATAAAGTTTACATTTTTGTATAGTTATTTTCTAATTAACCAGCCATACCCTGTGTTACGTGCGACCTAATATTTTTGAATATGTTAGTTAAAAAATATTAGGCTACTTGTTGCACAGGGTTTGGTATAACCATACAAATATATAAAATTAGTTAATTAACCATACAAAAATATAAACTTGATCCACATAAGATAGTATTTAAAGGGATAGTTTACTCTAGGTTCTAGGGTTATTTTCAGTTATTTTAGGTTAAAATTACACTACATAAAAAGTTTCATGGTTTAATCACCATTAGAAATATTATTAAAAAATGTTTTAAAACTAACGATTACAGTTTGATTACAACGACGGTGGCGTCACTCAAAGCGCACGATCTGATAAGTTGCGCAAAACCACTTTCCAGCCAAGGGCTACAGACCGAGGGTGTTTCTTATTTATTTATTTCAAAGCAAAAGGAGTGTAATATCTTATAAACGACATATAGTCTCAGTTATATTATGGATAAATTTGTCCTAAAAATGAACATCGTTCGATTAAATAGCATTTAGGTATGAATATAATTGCACCTTTGTGATTAGCCCTCGGTCTGTAACGTGCAAAATAAATTGGCAAATGCGCAACTTTTTCAGGGTGGCAGCACGGTCGCGGGTGTCATGGCGCCGTTCAATTTTCGTAGCGTTGATGTGTAATTAATTATGACAATTAAATTAGGTATCTGGTAACAAATGTGTGTGGGTATAGACGATTTGTTATACAGTAAATACAGTTATATGCAGTAAAATCCTAGAGTTTACTATCCCTTTAATATATGAGTCGGTTACAAGTTCATCTTGTCACTTTTACCAACATACTATCATTAGATAAATAAATCTAGCGATAATAAAAATGATAATAGATTTTAATGTTACGGTGGTAATTACAGAATGTTGCAAATGTTCGCTTATAAATTATTTACCCAATAGATGGCGCAACGAGATCATATTTGGCAACGATTGTGTTACTCAATGATTTAGGGTCGACTGAATGAGCTGATGTCACAGATCCGCATGCAGAACGAGATGAGTGGAATGCGCTGGGAAGACAAGTACAGCATAGATGAACACCTGCTGCAGGAAATAAAGCAGGTACAGCATAAATAGTTAAAAATTAAAATGTCAAGGACACTATTTAGAGATTAACATGTGAAAACTTGCAGGATGACTGTTTACACAGCTTTATTGCCATATCATTGCCAAGTGCCCTCTTTGAAGTGCAAGTCTCGTTGTCAAATCATTAATCTTGAAGTTATATATTAATGACAATGCACATTAAGGGAGGAACACAAGAGCTTGGAAGGTATTTGTTTTGACGGTTTGATGCTGTCTCTGCCAAACCTCCTTTTTAGGCATGTTTCAATGCCAAAATGTTGTTCGTTGATTTGTTGAATGAAGTTGATAAATTTCTTATTTCTCAATACTATATACACATCTGTTACTCTTCCAGCATTTGAAGAAGCAGCATGACGGTATTTCACATCTAATCAGTGTCATTAAGGACGATATGGAGGACCTTTCAATTATCCAACAAGGCCTGCAGATTACACAGCCAAGCTACAGGAGGTAGCAATACTTGTCTTCTTACCACACCTGTCCGACCGACTGTTAATGCAAATCGAGCATTGGCTGTGCGTAGGAGGTTGCACACCTTAGTATGTCACTAGCTTCAGGGCGTCAATTTTTCTTTTTGATTACTTGTTACTCGGTGGCATTAAAGTTTCATGTACAGCCTACAGGCATTATAGTATTAGCCTGATAACACAAATCTGTTAGCATGTGTGGGATTGGTTCAATATCTATCATTGTTGTTGCCATGGCAACAGCCTCAATTTTTATTTTGTCCACCAATCTGATGAAACGAGTAGTGCATTTTTGTTGACAATCTCGTACTTCATATCTTCATTCTCATTATTCCCATCAGTGTGGCATCAAGTACGGAGCCGTGAAGCTATTGGTGTAGGTTTAGTTGCCATAGCAACCAGGTTCCACTGGTGTATACTCTCATCACATGGTTCGTTTTCGTTCTGCATTTCCTGTCACTTGCAGCTGGGATGCAGGATCTATCCCGAATTGAATATTTCTGTATCTTGTGTTGAATCATGCAAGGAACTAATGAACAGCTCAACACCGCAAAATACTATGAAATACTAACGTTAAAGATGTGAATTGTTTTCTCATTGTATAGCAATGTATCCCTGATAATAAGGAATAAAAATCATGTACATATTACCTGGTTTTATGAGTTGTTTATAAGTAAAAATGTTCGGTTTTACAAAAGTAAAATCATAGTCAAAAATTCGTAATTACATTTATCAAAATCATTTCCATCCTAATATTATTTTATCTCAAAATAATGCAGTAATGATGATAAACTAATAATAAACTCTTAGGTCACACACGTGACTGGACAATAATTATTCACTGACCAAAAGCAATAAATCAATGGGAAAAACTGTACAGTCTATAATTACATTTCAATGTGCTTGATAACTTCACAATTATCACCCTACCATGCTTGATCTTTATATAACTTGTAGGTAGGCATGGCATCTGAGTAGTACATATGGCATGGTATTCAATGTGTGACTTGTGATAAGTCGGCTCTATATCGATTTGTGAGCCGATAATAATTTATTATTTATTTTAAGAAGAACATTTTTACTTGGAACTTTCATACTTAGCATTGCCACTACGATGTATACAGATATTGTACTTTATTGCCTGGTGTACAATTGGTGTCAACCTTGAAAGCTTGTGCACTAACACAAGATCCTACCAAATAGTCAAGCATTAGTAATCACTAATAAAAATGTCTACGTTCGGGAGTTTTGTACGTACGCGAGTTGGGTCAGCTTAGAAAACGTAATAAAGGTTAGCTATCATTATCAACTCGCGTACGTACAAATCTTCCGAACGTAGACATTTTTATTATTGATTACTAATGCTCGACTATTTGGTAGGATCCTGACGGTTTTTCGTATTTATTACGGAAAATATTCTGCTAGCTTCGCATTGTTATGGCGGAACATATACCAGTAGCTTCGCATATTTATTACGGAAAATATTCAGGTGGATTCGTACACTGTGACTTCTCTACGTGGACGTTTACATTTGCGTTTACGCACCGCGTCATCATCGTGCCACCTGGAGAATCTACAACGGGCTGATTAACGTAGACAATGTGACACACGGCCAGGTAATCCAAAAGACGAGATGCGTTTACGGCTGACACAGTGGCACCCACGAAGGCCAGCAAGGCGGCTATGAACTCTACAACGAGCCCGATCAGCCACCATATCACCATAGAAACGGACCACATCAGGAAATAAAAATAGACCATCTTGGCCAGAACGAGTATAGGGAAACATATCGCACAAATCAGACCGAAAATGAATGCGGTTTTTACAAAGTCGCGTGTGCCGATTTTCGCAGCCTTTCTTATCGACCACGCAGCAAACACTGTCGGAAGGCAGAGGATGCAGTAGACGAGGCTTACATACGGTATATACCCGCTGGCAACCAGAGCGCCTATAACCGTAACGGCGTCGATGACGACGATGCTGACGCTACCGAAGAGCAGCATCATGGCTCCGATCCGCATTCTATTCCGAGTTTCTAGATTCTCCGGATGCGGGCTGGCGATCTGTTGTGTTGTCACCACAGACACGGTGTTCGGCGGCACGGGACCTACTTGATACGACATGCTGAGCAGTACGGATGTACTCTCTTGCTGCTGAATTGTAACAAACACAGATTTGATGCCGATTTTCTAAATGAAATCTAATTATTTTTGATTTTTTATATTTTAAATTAAATACGTACAAACCCGTATCGAAGAAGCTACGTTCGATTACACGTAAAACCGAAGGTAGATGATGCCCGTGCTCTCTCGTTTATTCAGCCCTAGCCTGATTGTGCGCATACCGGTGATGTGCTTCCTTTATATTATCCGCCAGATATATTTATGGTTCTGCTTATAAACACAGTGAACCCATTTCCTCGTTGAGCAAACAGCCAACAGCGATTTGGAGTGCAAAGTATTATTTGCAGTGGCAACTATAAACATATATAGGTTCCCGTTGCCTTGGTATGCCGCTGCCAGGGATGTATATTTAGTTGGTGACAGCGTTCTTCCCTCATTTGCCAATCACAGCTGTCCCCTTTAACTAAGGTGCATTGATCATATATACGTTTATTCATGTAATTTAGTTGTAAAACGGATTAAAATAGGGAAGCAATATATATATATATATTATTAGCTCATAATATAATGAATTTGTGTCATCTACACGCGCGCGCGCGCACGCACGCACGCACACACACACACACACACACATATATATATATATATATATATATATATATATATATATATATATGTATATGTGCGTGCGTGCGTTTGTGTTTGTGTATGAATAGATATCAGTAGATATACAGGTAGAACACACCAATGTGCATGGTCTATATCATGCATAGACATAGTACGCAATTAAGCACACTCATTAGTAAATCACTCACTTAGCACAGCTGCAGATCGAGTTGATATAAATAGCCATCTGTATAATATACTGTATAAGCCGTATTTTTCGCGTACAGATATTTTCGCGAATTCAGGCTTGACGGGCAATTTCGCGAGTGGTTAATTTCGCAGTTGATGAATTATTAATTATTCGGTATTATTCGGTATGATTTATATTCGCGTGTTGTTATTTTCGCGGTCGGGGAGGCGTTCACGAAATTCGCGAAAATTAAACCACCGGGAAATATACAGCTTATACATTCATAGCTTTTATATATCAACACGACCCTATTGATGGTTATATATCAGTGAGGTGTTCATAAAAAAACATCAGCTCACCTCCTGTTGTGTCTCTGTTTGTCTATACTATTACTAAAAAATATATACAGGTGCATATAAACGTGTACAGGCATATTTGCCAATTTAATCTGCACATTTTCACATTTTCACGACATTTTTCACATATTATATTGTCATATATAATGTTATTGTAAGTAACGACAAGGAATGTACTCCCGGCATCATTATCTTTATGTACTCCCAGTATATAGTGTAGGCCTATAGTATATAAATATATATACAGTGATCACTGAAATTCATTTCGCGTGGATAGGTGTATTTGCGTCCGCTCCATGGTCCAGTAGTAGGCGAATACAGTCTGTGTGGTCGCGAGCACGAGCGAGTTGTAGGGGTGAGAGACCGGTGTTGTCAGGCAGGTTCACTCCAGCCCCATACTGTAGAAGCACCTCCACGACTTCCCTGAATTAAAAAAAACTGGCCGTAAATAATCTTAATAAAATTGATATATATATATATATATATATATATATATATATGTATATGTGCGTGCGTGCGTTTGTGTTTGTGTTTGTGTATGAATAGATATCAGTAGATATACAGGTAGATCTTCGAATGCACAAACCCGATCTCAGAAATTCGCATAGGTAAGTAGATAGGTTCCCGTTTTTGTTCTCCATCTCGCCAGTACGTGGATAGATTATCGCGCTTTCATGGTATAAGTAATTAAGTGTCCGTGCCATAAATATAATATAACACCATAAATTATGTTATATTAATATGATATCTATGGTCCGTGCAGTGTTCCCAAAACGTGCAGCGAGAACTCTGATATGTGCATTGATTATGTTTACATTTGCAGGCGTCGAATTCTACTAAAATAAAGTTCATATCCAAAAATTAACAAAAAATCGTAGAATGGAATTTTGCAAAAAAACAACGACGAGTATGCAAACCCCGAAAAATGCTGCAAATCAAAAATGGGTTCGTAGCGCATTCGAACCAGACCAGTCAACAATGCAATCAACAATGCAGCCCTATTGAAAAAGTAGGAAAGGGTAAGAAAAGATCATCGTAATAATTATGTTAGTATATATATAAATAATTTTAGTTATGCACTGACAATGCAAAATTAAGAGATTATGCAGAATTAAGTCAAGTTTGATATTCTTATAGTAAAACCGATTATTTAGGCTGTTCAAGTTCTCAATAATTATTTCTTCTTTCAACGACGTGTTATGATTTTTTATTCAACGCAATCGCAAGATGCATGCATGCTGTCTGGTCATTCGGCTGTGCAGTGATAATTTTTGGCCTTATCTTATATCGTGCGCGGAACCCTATACCGTATTTGTACCTAATTGTCCACGTGGTTTGATATTTCCTCGTACATATATAATTGATAGTTTTCACTGCTATATCATATTGGATACTATCAGGAGTTAATGAGACAAATTTTTGTCTCATAAACTCCTGATACTATATAATATAGCGGAAATATATATATATTTTTTCTTATTTATATATTAATTTTTTATTGGATACTATATATATGATTCTGCCACTCACTATTCACATTGTTGGTTTACGCGTATATGATGAAGTGTATACGGTCGTCATATCGATCGAAGGTCACGCGGTTGTAGATGGTGTGGGGGGGGGGGCTTTGCCTTTGGCTGGGTGAGGATGACTTGCACATTTTCATGCAAAGCTGCAGCTGTATATATATGGCTGCAAGAGCACTCATACTCACATGGAGAGTGGACATCACGAGTTGACTACACCTATAAGTGATTATCGTCGAAATTGTGCAATAAAACTTTCATTTCAGTTTGGTAGAGCGCGGCGAGGGGGTACATACAGTAACTCACGTGGTAAGTTATCTGCACTGACTGCATGCGTTCGCCAAGAATCGCGACTGCGGTGCGTACACATATGCAGGCAGCACGTATTGCGTGTTCATTTCACAAATCAACAAATCATTTTGTCGCGCAAATCATTTTGAAAACATTACTATGGTGCACCTACGTATAGATAAGGTATCGGTACATACGTTTGTGGTAATTATAGACTAGCACTCGATTTCCTGTGCATAGCGTGTGTTATACTTACATAGATACGTAACACACATAGACACACATATACACACATATACACACATAGACACACATAGACACACACATAGACACACTATATATTTATGTGCTCCAGATGAGCATTTGGACGGCATTTGCAGGAAATTGTCGGCAATAATAGGTGAAAGAGAGTTTAGAAAGACTTTGGTAGTAAATAGATTTCGTATTTATTTAGCATTATATTTTATTGAAACGCTCCAAGTGCCTGTGGCCTGCACCATGTAGTACGTGCGTATATAATACGTGCCTGTACTATATAGAGAGCTATATCAATATAGGCTCTGCCTGTACTAGCTGTGTTTGGCGTGAATCAATAAATGTTGCCCTAGAAATTCGTAAGCGGCAGATCATGCATTTTTTCAGTCACAATTTATTAGTCTGTCAGGGTTGTGTTATTCAGGTTTGTGTTATTATAGTGTTTATCAGGGTTGAGAAGTTGTGCGCCTAAGCAGCTCATATTCATACCTGATCTGATTTTCAGCAGTGAATCCTGGAAAACATGTCGCGACCTATAAAGAAGATTGTGAAAGGGAGTTGGCAGAATGAAGGAAATGGAGCTAGAGTTCTCCGCTCCATTGGTGGGTCGCAGGTTAGTGATACCAAAAATACATGTTATCAGGAATGAATAATAGAGATTCTTTATTATTCATTCCTGATGTTATGTTGTGTTGTGTCCACGTATAGACTAAGTGTATTATTGTGTTGTGTGTAGTTGTTTGTGTGTGTTTGTGTTGTGTCTGTGTTTGTGTGGGTGTTGTGTTGCATGTTTGTCATGTCCATGGTCATGTTATGTTATATTGTTTATTACTTGTTTATATACTTGGGTTATATACTTGGTATACTTGGTTATATTTTATACTTGTTTGTATTTAGCTATAGTGGATGTAACTTGGCGAGAGTGTATGGTGAGGTGAGTGTACGTGTAGCTGCAGTATAGAGTAAGTTAGTGTAGGGTATATAGGTACAGTACACTTCGTACATGAAGTGTGTTAACTTAAAGGGCTACATATTCTGCCATAGGTTCTTCAGATATTTTCAGCTACGATAGGTTAAAATTACGCTTGCTAGAAAGTGTTACAGGTTCAATATTTAGTAGAAAATAGATCTTTTATGTTGATGTGTTTCAAACGTGACGGCTATATATGCGTTGCTTACGGAAACGACGGGTGGCGCCGCTGAGGCTGCGGCACTTCACTGGAAAACAGTTGCACAAAGCCAACGTTTGCGGCTGCAGGGTACAGAACCGAGGGTGTTTCTTGATGTTATTAGTACCAAGGATAGATTGCAGAAGATTGCATATACGGTCTTTTATAAATGACATACAGTTTTCAGTATAGATATGGAACATTTGATCCTTAAAACTGAATATCGTTCGTTAAA